TCAGCTGCTATGGCCAGGACCTGTTTTCAAAGCTCTGTGTGTTTTAGAAAAGGTTTCTATCATAACACCAAAAAGACCCTGGAGTTAAAAACAAGCAATGTGATGATTTCTTGAGTCACACTATTCTGAATGACAAATCAGAAACCACAAAACTGTTTATCAAGCAGCACACAAGCAATCAGATTCCCCAATCCCTGGCCTGCTGGGGAACGCTGTGTTCAATTTTCCTTTTATTTTTTCAGATTCATAGATGGAAATAGGTTTTAAAGCAGTAGCCAGCCACACTGAGGGACTGATACTTCAGTGGGATGTTGGTTTAACTTTCCAGAGAATGTCAATACCTTATTAAGATTTCAGCTTCATCACCCCCAGGGTTCAGCTCTATCTTCCATCTTCCTGTTTTAGTTGGTTCTTTAGTATTTTTTTTTTTTTTAATTTTTTAACCACACCAGAGCATCTTGTCACCTTTACTGATTAATCCCAAGGTCCCTGCAGGGTAAGGAAGTACTACCAAGTCTTTTTCAAACTAAGGAGGAGTTTGAAAACTAAGATATTGCAAAATAGTCATCTTGTTGCACAGAACATGACCAGAGATATCCAGACATGGCATGCATGCAGGGAGGCAGGAACATCCCTGGTTTGTACAAATAATTCCATCTGAATGTCTAGGGGATCACCCTGGTTTAATAACTCACCTTATTACTTAGTGTTGACTCCCCTCAGAATTTACAATTAATATCAACCCTAAGGAAAACAGAGCAAAAATCAATAATCAGAGAAGAAAGAGGAACCCCATCTGCCCATGCTGTCACCTGCTGCCTGACAGGCACAGCCACACTGACAGACCCTGCCCTAGGGTCAGAAAGAGAGGAGCAAAAATTTCTGACACCAGAGAGATGAGTTGTACCAGCAAGAAGCCATAAGCAAAGAAAGATTCTGGTAATAAAAGAACCCTGTGATGGTCTGTGAAGCTTCATGAACAATCCTTGGCTCATCCCAAATACCTGATACTGGCAAAATCAATGTAGGGAGAAGGAGGGCAATGACAGAGGATTTCTAGCTGAGAGTTCAACACTTTTTCAAGAGATGATGGGGACCCCCAGCCACTTCTGATCTGAATTCCCTACAATGAAGTTAACATTACAGTTTAATAGGAAGTTTTGTAGCACACCAGTGGAACAGGCAGGAGGAAGGTCATACACACAGGTGGGATGGGTTTTGTACAGCAGCCTGGAGAAAAACTCCTTTTAATCATTTGGAGAAGAGGCATGAATAGGAGAGAGATGAGAAGCACAAATTTCCACAGCCTCCCCAGATCTCCTTCTGATCCCCAGAGGATCTGTTCAGGATGGGACTGACATTTCCTTTAATCCATATTGCAAGTTGGTGAGGAACTGCTAACACCAGAAGCAAACCGCATTCAAAACAGAAACCTTGCAGTGAGTTGTAATCCTTCATCCTTTCTTCCTTAACTAAAATTCAAGCCCCAATAGTTGGGGTTAAACACTGGGAATACAGACACAGTGACCAGCACACAGCCTTGTCCTTGAACGTGCCCCCTGTCCAAGAGAGCACCAGGCTGGGCCAGAACCAGCCCCAGGGAGCATCCTTGTGCTGCAGGGACAGGACTAACGTGGTCCTCAGCAAACACAGGCAGGCAGCCTGCAGAGCAGCACTGCTGTGTCCATCCCAGGACTGAGCTGACACCCCTGACCTGGGTGAAGCTCTCCTCCTGCCCAGAGCTGGGCTGCTGCAGAGCCCAGCACAGCATCCATGGCCCCTTTTGTTCCCAGCTCAGCTGACAAACCAGTGCTGCTTGGCTTGAGATCAGTTCAAGTGTAAAGGAGTTACCTGTCTCTCCAATTAAACCTTTTTCTTTTCTTCCAGAGCACCCCCTGCTTGTGTTCTGCATGTGTGGATGTATGGAAGCTGCATCCCCAGGAGCGTCACTGGATGCCCACCCACATCTCCTGGCTGTATGAAACCAGCGAGCTTTGCTTTGCCTTCTGAACACACCAAGAAGGCGACTGCACAGAGAAAATTACGATTTTTGTCAGGACCCAGGGAATCCATGCATGACCACACACGACCTTTCACCAAGAGTGATGCTCTTCACCCTGCGGAACGCCCCGGAATCCACGTGGAGCTGCTGGAGCTGCCCACTGTGCTGGATCACTGAAGGCAGGGCAGGGAGGCTGGGGTGCTCCCACCATCCAAGAACAGCCAGGGCTTCCCTACATCCACTGGAGCAGCAGCAAAGCTTTCTGGGATGGAGGGAGGTATGTGGTGCTTGCTGCCCATCCGATGCCTGGATGAATCACAACGCTGCTCCCAGCCTAGAGAAGAACAAAGGATCTGGATGCACTACTGACCAAATGCACACAAGCTCCCTTTTACAGAATCATAGAATGGTTTGGGCTGGAAGGGACCTTAAGATCATCCAGTTCCAGCCCCACTGCCTCAGACTTCTCTGGAAACTCCCTAAATGCTCCTCCTCCAGCTGGTGCAAACACGTCTGGAGAAACCTGATGGTAGAAGTTAGTAGGAAATAGCACACACAAACTCTCCTGAAACAAAACATTTTCAAGGCTTCTCTGCACTTGAGCCAATTTCTTCAGGCATCCTGCCCCATGTTTAAGAACCAAAGGCAAGATCCCCACATTAGGTGTCTAGTGCTAAGTTTTATGGCCCTGCACTTAAAAAACATGTTCCTAAATATCTGAATCCCAGGCACCTGGAAATAAGCATTTGCCTTTGAAGCGAACAAAAAGGGAAATAATCTCTGTATATAATTTTAATTTTCTTTCCTTTATTTGGTTTTAAGCTGCTTTTATGCAGCACTGGAAAGTTATAGCCCATGATTTGTTGCATTCTGGTCTGCTAATAGAAACATCCCCCTGACTGCTGCTCACTGTGCAGAGCAGAAGGATCGTAAGGCAGATTGTAAATGGTTGCATTACGGAGAAAGATAATGTTTCTTTCCACTTTCATTTCCCCTGGTTGGTGTTTATCATGGTAGGGGTTGTGTAAACATATGAGAGAGAGATCATGCATTATTTACCAGGCTGGAACTGGGGAAAGGCTCCAGCCTTGCAGAGTGTGGATGAACGCCCAGCAATTCCCACCCGCTAAGATTTGTGCTGTGTTTGGTGGGAGCTTGGCTGAAGGATTGTTAAAGCAAATAGGATGGTCCTGCCAGCCTGGAGAGTGGCACTGGATAGGGCTGAGGGTCACAGGCTCTGTGTCCCTCCTTTCAGCTCTGGACATTATTTATTGTCACTATTATTTATATGTCATTATTTATTTCACACCTTGACAAGACTGGATCAGAACTGCCACTGAGTCAGCACAACCATCAACCAATTCCTTCAGGTCTGCTGGGGCTCCAACACATCTGAACAAAATTTCTTGCTTTTGAATGTAGCTGAGGGCAGACAAACCCAGAGATGGGGGAGACACAGGAGGAAGCAGAAGCCTTTCCAGCTTCAGGATTGTCCCCACAATGCCACTGGGGCCAGCAGTGCTGACCCAGTTTCTAAACGGTTGCAACACTCTAAGGTTTATTATCATTAAACTCTAGACAGTGGCAGAAGCTCTGTGTTTGTCCTTGCAGTACTAAGGCAGTGCACATAAAAACTAACAAAATAAGCCACTAAATTCTGGCAGCCTTGGGAAAGAATTAAAAAAATCTGAAAAACCAGGAAACAAACCCAGTGAAACTACTAAATAAGGAATAAGTTAATGAGGAAAAATTACAAGGAGCTGAAGACTTTAAATGCTCTTCCAAATTAAGGAGAATAAAGGGAAAGGATCAGCTCTTATTTCTGAAATTAAGGTGTTATTTATGGCAATTAAGCTGCTTTAAGATTAAGCCTGGATACAGTGCCACAGAAAATACATCTGATTTACTCCCAAGGCTTCTCATCAGTTTCTATATGAGCAACAGCCAGCCAAAAAGCAAGAGGAGTTCTGAACTTCCTGTGTGCACACACAGCACCTGTAAAACCCCTGGGGATTTATCCCCAAGCTGGCAGCTGCACTGGACTATTGGGAGCAATCCTCAGCCCACAGCACTGGCACTGGAGCTGAGCTCTGGCACCTTCGGGGCAGGAATCTTACAAGAATGAGAACATTTTGTAGCAGCAAAAGAGAAAAAAAAATAAAGATTCTGTTTCTGTGTCTGCAAGCAACCTGCATGTGAAGAGGGGTGGAAGGAGGGTGCAGGGAAGGGACACAGCCCAGGAGCCCGTTTGGAGGCACTCACCAGGCAGAGCAAAGAGCACCTTTGCCCTGTCCCAGCAGCGAGGGAACCATCCCATCCATGGGACTGTGCCATCCCCCTCCAGGGACACATCCTTTGGCTCGGAGAACACTCTCCACGGGCTCAAGGGAGGGAGGGAGGGAGGTGAAAGATGCCAAGGAGCCCCTGGCAGAGCCCCTTCTTCTGCACCACACTTCTGTGCAGGGAGGAAACACATCAGTGACCACAACACCCCTATACACCTCTGTAGTATCTTCCCCCTATTACAGAGTTGGTAACATTTGCAGAGAACCTGTTAAACATTAAGACTGCACACACTATTTGTAGGATTCAGCCCCAGAAGCCTTCTTGTTTTTCCTATATATTAACAAAACAATAAAGGAAATAAATAAAAAAGGATAAAGCTTTGTTAAACTCAAAAACAGTTCAGAGAGGAGAGAGAGCTGAAGATGGGATGGTGCTGGGAAGACATTCAGCCTTGCCATGCTGCTGTTCACAGACTCCCCTCTTTGAAGGAGACATGAAAGGAGACATTGCAACACGACACTCGCAAACTCTGTTGATCTGTGGCTCTGTTGATTTTTCCAGCCCCCTTGGCTGCCTGCTTCAGCGTCCTGTGCTTTGAACCCGCAGAGTAAATAGGTGTGACTCGTGTGGCTCTGCGGGCAGGAGATGTGTTCCCAGGAGGAGCCCTGGGGGCAGGCAGGAAAAGCCTCCGCTGCCACCCTGGAGAGCAGCATGAGGCAGTCAGAGCAGCTGGCCTGAAAACTTGGGGAAAGAGAGAAGAACAAGAATCAAGAAAACCTTCCATAGAGGAAGATGTCCCTGTGAATGAAGGGGTCCCCAGGACTCGTAAGTAAACACGCAGGTAATGTTTTTTCTGAGGCTGGATGCACGAGGAAGTGAACAGGAATATGTTGGCTTTCTACCACCCCAGCAGAGCTGCTGGAGGCACGATGGGTTTAACTGGAGCACCTGGAGCTTGGCAGGAGATGAGGAACATGCTGACGAGGGGCTCAGAGGGTCTTGATTTGATTTGATTCAAATCGAACTGGCCAGAAGATTTCCCTCCATTTGCCCTCTCTCAGCAGAAATATTTATTATGTTAAATGAAATGTTTAACCACTGGCACTGTTGGCTGCAACAGCTCAGCACAAGCAGCTTTAGCAGTTGCTGGGATCAGCACCCTGGGGCTGAAGATGTTTTCCTCTGCCCAGTTACTCATCCTCGCTCCTCTCGCCTCCAGCTCTGTCCCCCGCCCGCTTTACAAGTTGCAATGCGTTAAAATAAAAGTATTAACGGCGCTTATCTGATGCATGGGAGATTGTGAGAGCAAGCTGGCAAGCAGCCAGGAGCTAATAGCAGCATAAAGCAATTTGCTGGAAAAAAAAGAATTAACATGCTAATTGTCAGGCTGGAGAGGGTGCTGGGGATCACAGAGAAGTGGAAAAAAAAAAGGGGGGAGGTCATTGATTACTCTAGATTTAAACAATAAAGGACTGGGAAGGAGAGAAAGAAAGCAAGAAAGGTTTTTGAGGCAATTTTCTTCTTTTTTTTTGTCCCATTCTCTGCTACCCTCCCCCTGCTCCAAACCTCCAGCCAGAGCCTCAGGCACTCGCGGGAATTTATCCGAAGATCTCTTCCTTTTTAGCACGGTGTGGCTGGCAGCTGCAGCCCGGGCTGCGGAGCGCTCGGCACCGGCAGCAGCTCTGCCCTGCCCACGGGGCGAGCGCCGGGGAGCGGCTGCCGGGGCTCGGAGCCCCCGGTCCGGCACAGCCCCGGTCCGGCACAGCCCCGGTCCGGCACAGCCCCGGCACAGCCCCGGTCCGGCACAGCCCGGCACAGCCCCGGTCCGGCAGCGCCCCGGCACAGCCCCGGTCCGGCACAGCCCGGCACAGCCCCGGTCCGGCACAGCCCCGGTCCGGCACAGCCCCGGTCCGGCACAGCCCCGGTCCGGCACAGCCCCAGCCCCAGCTCCGCTCAGCCCAGCCAGCCGAACAGCCGACCCGACCCTCGCCCCTTCCCAGGGAAGCTTTTTTTTTTTTTGGTGTTTCTTTCTTGAACAAAGAGACGTCGCTGGTTTTTTTTAATTATTATTTTTTAAATTTTATTTTTCCTCAAAGCCATGAAAGGAGTGCCTGGAAAGCTCAAGCAGAAAGCCCAGCCTCAGCGCTGGCTCCACAGAGCGCCTTTAACTGGGATTAAGAAAGTCAACTAATGCTTCCCAGCACCAGGATTTCAGCAGCACGGAGCCTCCCGAGGCAGAGAACCGCGACGGCAAATCCAGCAGGATCTCCAGGCAGCAGCTGCCTCTCCGTGCAGATGCCGTTCGAGCCCGGATTTATGTGCATCCCACTCCTGCAAACCAGCTGCGAACCCACCGCGCCTCCCGTTCCCGGACAGTGAGCGCTGCCAAGCCGTGGCTGCTCCCTGCCTGGGGCCAGCACCGGCGCTGCGAGAGCCTCTTCCTCACCCCATGCAGGTGGAGCGGTGGCACGGCGCTCCCGGCACATTCCCAGAGCTCCCGGCACATTCCCAGAGCTCCCGGCACATTCCCAGAGCTCCCGGCACATCCCGGCTGACCAGCAGATGAGCCAGCGCATCTCCCCAAACGAGGCGTGCTGGGGGAACAAGGGCCAGGACTCGAGGTACCTGTATCATTTTTGATTAATACTTGTGGATAAATGCTGTAAATATGAGCCAAGAAGACTTAAAAGAAAGTCGCTGAGCCATGCAAGTGACTTAATTTGTGTTAGACAACATGCGGCTGGGTTGCAGCCTCTTACAAGCAGGAACATTATTTCTTTCCTATGCCAAAGACTGACTGCGTTTGCCCTCCTGCTTTACTTCTGCCGTGGAGGAAATTTAAGCAAGAACATGTACAGTGAATTTCTCAATTCAACCAGTGCCACTGAAGCTCACCTAATGATTCAGACCAACACTCCCTACCTGAGCAGCACTCCAAGACCCGTGAGCTCCTCCGCTCTTTACATGTCGACAGCCAGGGTGTTAAAAGAAGGGGAAATAAATAAGCCAGACCTGGTGACTTACATAATTCTGTTTTTCTTTCTGTTCTTGACTGTGACATTCATTGTGTTCTTCATAAACTGCCAGCTGAAAAATTCTTTTTTTGCTACTCTTCCTTACGACAGATCGCTCAGGGAGGCGAGGAACCCGTGGAGGACACAAGCTGTCTGACACTTCTCATTCCAGCAGGAGCAGGCACCAGGAACCCTGTGCAATAAGGTGTTAGTGCCATGTGCATGGATGTGACCCCCTTTGGAGCAATGGGCAGGAGGAGATTGCTGAAAATTACGCTGTATGCCAATCTGAGTAGCTGTAAATAAAAAGCTCTGTTAACAACAGAGGAAAATGCTTTAGCAAATTGATAAGAGTTTTTGTAAAAAATTGCCCCGTGATTCCAGATTAAGCTCTGTGTGTATGCAAATGTCATCATCCACCTATTCAGTGTCCATAAAAGGATAATTGTATTAACAGCAATCTCTGATTTGGGCATCTGGTGGAGCTTGTTCCCCCATGTTTATGAAACCAAGCATCAAATGTAAAAAACCCAGTGTATTTACCTAACAGCTCCACTCTGAGATGAGTTTACTTTCCAGACCCGTTTCTCCCAACTGCTGGAACTGCATGGTGATGCCGTGGGAGGCCTGCCAGGCAGGAGGAGAAAATGAAAAATGTTTATTTAGGCTTTTGATTGTCATTCTGTTCAGGGTGTTTTTGATGTTTGAATGCGTCATCGATCAAGTCTTAAGTTACTACTTATGTGAAACACTTATTACCTACGGAATTTATTTTCAACTCTCATAAGCTGCAAAGGAAATTATTTGCCACAGCATGAAACCAAAATAATCAAGATGGGGAGAAGTGGGTAAAGAAAATGCATATATTTAATATTATGCAAACTAATGAAAGGGGTGAAGTGAATTCTCCAAGTTTGGCACACAAAGTGGATAAGTTCTGAAAGCCATAAAACACAGCTTTATAGGAATAGTTGCTTTACTGCACAGTATCCCCACTCCTTGCTCTTCATCTAAAACTAGCCCAATTAGAAGCATGAATTATTAATATGGCAACAGCTTGATTGAACACTGGTCACTGGCAACCTCCACCATTTCAAACTACTAACTATCCAATTTTGTTCTAAAATCAGAACAAATAAAAGCTTCTGTATAACACTGGTAGCTGACGAGCTATTTTGGAGATGCTGATTTCTTGTAAACTTGCAGTTACAGCAGAATTCCAGATCAAGCTGCATGAACCCATGAAGAGTGTCCATAATTCCCACAAAAAGTGGGAAAAGGGATTTTTTTTTTCTTTTCCTTTTTTCTTTATGGCTCAACATACAGGAGAATTGCAGATATCCAGAAACACCCAGTCCCAAATCCTATTCTAGCTGCTGTTTTGGGTACTGGATCATCTGAAATGGGGTTCAAAGTGTTTTAAGATGCTGCTCCTAACCCTGTTCTTGACCTGCAGAGTACACCAGAGGCATTGCATGTAAATATGTGTACATAACTTATTTCATCCAAATGAGGAGATTTTACAATACAATTACACACACATACAGGCTTGCACTTGAGAACACAGACAAAATGTGTATATGTGGAAGTCAGTTTGCAAGCTTTTTCTTTTTTAACCCAAAAATTTAACAGTTGATAACACTTCCATGTCATTGTCTTTGCTACCATGTTTTATTTTGCTCAAATAAGCTGAACTACTACCTAAGAGATTTCAGTATTTTATTCCGTGTTATGTGGCCAATACTTCCTCTGAACCAAATTTAACTGGTGTAATTCCAAGCAGTTACTCTAATGCAGAAAGCAACAATAAATCCAAGTGTATTTCTCTCAGCCCTTTTTGAATAAATCAACTTTTATCAAATCAGGCATTTCTTATTTATTTTTAAGCAATGACAGCTTGTTTTCAGCTACCAGCCATAATGAGTTTGGTCTAAGAATTTCTGCTGGCAAAAGCCTCAGAACCTGACAGAGCACATGTTGCTTTGCATTCTTTATTTAAACATTCAAGAATAGCTCCAGAATAATCCTATTTTTCTCCATAACTTGGTTGGAGTAATAGCACAGAAGAACCTGTCATGCTGAGGGTGTTAACTGATTTTCTGGGAACACTTTTATCCATGCCCTGTGTTGCTCTCATTGATATCCAGCATCATTTCTATTGCAGAAGAAAGTTCTATTAATGATACTCAGACTCATAGAATCCCACAACAGTTTGGGTTGGAAAGGACCTTAAAGATCATCCAGTACCACCCCCCTGTCATGGGCAGGGTCATTTTTCAATGCCAAGTTGCTCCAAGCCCCTTCCAATCCAGCTTTGAGCACTTCCAGGGATGGGGCACCACCACAATTTTAGCCAATGTACAAAACCTATGTGTAGAAAACATTCTGTTTCACCAGGCCCAGAATTCAAGCTGGCCAAAAAATCCACTTTCCAACCACAGGCACACCAGGGAGGCACTGACAGGCCTTGCTTCATTTTCTGGAACAGTTTTATTAGATGTATGACGCGTGGGGTCCCACATGGATTCTCCCTTTCCCTCACTCTCCGCCAGTCACAGCCCTGCCCCTGACACAAACACACCATTCCCTGTGTCTTTTACCAAATCCCATTTTCTCAATGTGCCTTTTGAAAGAGCCTCTGATCACAGCCCTGCAGCAGCCTCCCCCTCCTGATGGCTTTTCTTCAAGGCAGACTGGAGGTCAATACACTGCCAGATGAAAGGTGAGTGAAACTCCAGGAATCTGGGGCACGAGGCTGTGAGAAGCAGAGCGGTCCCCATTCAGAGAAATTCTCAGTAATCGGCTTTGCTTTCAAAAGAGGAGCAGCTCCTGTAACACCCTGAGGAGAATCTGTAGCCTTCACATCCATAGCTAAGTGCTCTGCTGAATCAGGAGCTGTGTGTTGAAGAAGGCTCTAACTCTCCCTCTGGGCCAGGGAAAGAACTCATCACTTCCACCTGGAAGCAGTGAGACACTTTGAAGCTGATGCCACCCTTTGAATGGATTATTATTATTATTATTATTGTGCTATTACATTCTGTTGTGAATGAATCACAACATTATTAGTTGTGGATGGTTTTGAATGCAGCTGCCCAAGCCTTTGGCACAGGCAGTGCCCACAGGGAGTTTGCCACAGCCCTGTACTGAGGAACCAAGGAGGAACCACCAGCTCCATGCTCCTCTGTGAGAGCTTCCCATAACTGGGAGCTTGCTCATCCCATTGCTCTGCCTGAACACTGTGTTTGTTAACATTTTGGACCAGCAGGACACATCTTTCTTCTCACATTTCCTGCTGTAGGTGGGCTTCCCCATGAGCATTTGACCTCCTGTACTTGCCTTTCCCCTGATAAAAATCAGAAGCTGAGGGTTTTCTATACCCCATGCCACGTGGCCATGACAACTTCTGCCTGGAAAGAACTCACCTGTAGGACTCACAAATCAAACTGCACAGCAAGACAACAGGCAAAGAATAAATCCTAAAAGCTAAATATTCTGTGTCTGTCTGAGGTGTCAGCCTGGTAACTAACCCTGTGCTGCATGATCACACTCTCCAAACCTGTATCAAACCACTGGAGCCACTGCAATTTGTAACTCACTTGCTTCAAGATTTCTTCCAGCACGTTCAAGCTCTGATGTCCTGGTGACAAGCAGCTGCCCTACTCCTACACAGCAGAGTGTGGCAGACCTGACCCCAGCAGATCAAAAGGTTCAGTTCAGCCCTGCCAATGCACAGCTCTGCCCATGGTCCTTGCTCTCCTACACGTTTTGAGAACCAGGAGCTTTACCTACCTGGTATTTGAAATATTTAAAACAATGGAAGATATATCAGTCTGAGATGGTGAAAGGAAAAGAGACCTGATAGTGCTCACAGCACATTTGTGTTTAGGAGGTTCTTCCAGAAACTACATGTGTATAGAAAAGTTTGCTGTAATTAATCCATTAATCCATACAGAAAATCTCCCAGGCAACAAGGTACATACACAGTTACATCAAGTTTTTTTTTTTTCCTCTTCTTGTCTTCCTTTTTGCCCTCCTGGTATCATAAAATTCTTCCCTGCAGGGCTGAGCATCTGCATAGGGCACCACTGGTGAATTCTATTCAGGGACACAACCTGGTCACTCCTAAATTTGCACTTTTAATATACTGTATTTGCCTTAATTTATTAGAGGAAACTTAAGAATTCCTTCTATTAAAATCTTTTTGTGACACTGCTCACCAGAGACCTGAAATTTCAGAAAAAATAGTCTCCATTTGGCTCTTACAGAACAGAGCCTGTTTTGTCTGTTTTGTGTCTGAAGTCAAAGTCACACACACAGCTCAAAGCTGTCTCAAGTGGCTCCTGAGTTGGCCATCAGCAGTTTCTCTATGAGACTTCAGAAAATCAGGACTTGAAGGAGTGACTGGGTTACACAGCACTTCTAATTTAGTCCTGGAAATAAATTCTGTTATTGCAAACAACAGTTATTTCAAAAAAAGAGAATAGAAAAAACAAAAAAAATATTTATAAACAACAAAGTAAAACTGGCCTTAGAAGAGAAAAGCTTTAAAAGGTGTGGGGTTTTTCTTCCAATGTCTTGTGGAAAAAAGGAGTCCTGCAAGAAGCTGGAACACAGAATGGCTGGAGATGACCCAACAGCTTCTACCCCCCAGAATGTCACCCTTCAACACCCTCACCTCACATCTCCATGGAAGTGGCTTTACAGCATTTGTCATTGGGGAGGGAAATGTTATCTAAGTACACTTATTTCTGAACACAGGTTGGAAGCTTATTTTCAAGACCTAAGTCTGAAAAAAAGATTGATTTCCCATTAATCTGCTGGTGTGTATAAACAGCACCTGTCATTTTGTCATTATGAGAATTCTCCCTTGCCCTCACTGTCCCACATCGCCTGTAGCAGGAACACTTTGGTGCCACGGTCCCCATCTGTGCAAATCCCACTCACAGTGCAGCAGCTCAGTCCCTGCTGACTCTGAGCATCCCTTTGGTGACAGCCAAGGCAGCCCCTGTATGGGGCAGGAGCTGCAGGTGGTGACAGGGACACGCCTGCCCAGGACACCTCTGGTGTGCTGCCTCTGCTGCTCCCTCCAGCACAGCACGGGCAACTCCAACAGCAACACAGCTCAGCAATTCCATACGGAACTGGCAGAAACCTGCTCTGTCCTCCAGGACAAGGATTGCTCCTGTCACAGGGTATGGGACAGCCCATGTTTAATTACTTTAAATGACACTGAGGTATTTGCTTTTCACATAGCGGTGAACAGAAGCTGTGTCTGACTTATTTAACACACAGTGAAGGTTGGAGAGGGGGTGGAAGAGGGGTGTTTCACCCAAAACCCTTCTTCCATC